GTCTGGGGTCCCATTATCTCCCACCAAGCCTTTAGGTTATTCTCACCCCACAAGCAAGGGTCAGCTCTAGGGAAGAAGGACACTGGACGTCACAATAGGCAGGTCAGCCTGGAGCAGTGTTCAGGAGAGACTGAGCCTTTGAATTAGACCCATGCTGGAGTCCAAATTCTGACCTCCACTCCTTCTGCACCCCATGCAACCACACTGAGAACCCATCAGTGCTCTTAGCTCATGCAGAAACACACACCATTGGCCAGAAACGCAGGGACCCAGATTCTCAGTGTAAAGTGCCAGAATCGGGCCCCAAGAGGCCAACATCACATTTCCCAGTGCAGGAGCTCTCAACTGGTGCATGACCAGGTAGCTAGCTCCTAAGCCTACTGCCCACACAGTGCAGGGTGTAGGAGCAATTGTTCATAACCTTCCCCCACCTCTGCCATTTGCAGACCCCAAAACATTTCAAAGGAAGTGCAGACCCTTTTGGAATTCTTACACAGTCTGCAGAATCCCAGGGGTCATTGGTCACAGGTTGAAAGCCCTGGTGGAGGGTGTTGGTACACTGGAATAAAGTTAATTGACTGACATGCATCCTGCCCGTAGAGGAAAATAGGTCCATAGAGACCGTAGATGGTAAAATTAGAGCAGCCTCCCATCTTGCATGAGCAGATCTTGGCCCAAGAAGAGACCTGGGTTCTGTGTGTGTAAGACAATCTCACAAATCATGTAGCTTTCATGTTTTTAAATGCTAATTTATTTTAAAGAGATGGTCCCATCAATTTTAGTGCAACCTCATTCATAAACCACATAAAGGAATCTCTCTCTCTCGCAAGCGTAGAGGAGCCAGCTGCCTCTTTTCCTCAATGCCACTAACTCGTTCAACCAGAATCCTACAGCTCTTCTACGCAGGATGCAGGTCAGTCAATTACATTTATAAATGGAAAATAATAAAATATGATAGCCTTTTACAGCCCTGCAGCAGTAATGTTGTGTTCAGATCTCTAGTGCCGGGGTTTTCTTTTACAGAAGAACTTCACTCCAAGCAAGGGGCTTTGCTGTAACCAGAAACGCCATTTACATGTGTTGAAAGAACCTTCCGCTCTGCCTGGCTCCATGATGTTCCTTTTACAGCAGAGTTCACTATACACCAGCCCCAATTCTCTCCTGCATGACGTTGCTCGAGCACCGGGATCCAAAGCCCATTGAAATGGGTGGAAAGTCTCCTACTGACTTGAAGAGGCTTTAGAGCAGACTGTGAATGTGCCATGCCTCCGACTCTCACTAGCAGGCAGTGTTCCCTGTAAGATGAGTGCTTGGGTGGCCACCTAAGAGAGAGACAAATGCCGCCCAGCCAGGCCTGTTGATAAGGGAGGACAAAGGAGGCAATTGCCCTGGGGCCCAGCAATTCAAAGGGGCTCTAAGGGCTGGTGGGGGCACGGCACGCATGGTACCGAGGCTGACTGCCCCGACCCTGCCCCTTCCACCTGAGGCCCCACCCCTTGCCCAGAAGCCCACTGAGGTTGTTGGCCACCCTGTGAGGAGGGATGCAGGTGCAGAATCCTGCTCATCAGGAGATGGAGGCCTTAGTGGAAAAAGGACTTGGAGGCCATAGTGGACAACAAGTTAAACATGAGTCAACAGTGTGACACTTGGAAAAAAAGCAAACATGATTCTGGGATTCATCAATAGGAGTGTTGTGAGAAAGACACGAGAAGTCATTCTTCCGCTCTACTCTGCACTGATGAGACCTCAGTTGGAGTGTTGTCCCCCATTCTGGGCACCACATTTGAAGAAAGATGTGGAAAAATTGGAGAAGGTCCAGAGAAGAATAACAAAAATGATTAAAGGTCTAGAAAACACGACCTATAAGGGAAGACTGAAAGAACTGAGCTTGTTTAATTTAGAAAAGAGAAGAGAGGGGACATGATAGTGGTTTTCAAATATCTGAAAGGGTGTTATGAGGAGGAGGGAGAAAAATTGTTCTCCTTGGTCTCTGAGAATAGGACAAGAAACAATGGGCTTAAATTGCTGCTAGGGAGGGTTAGGTTGGACATCAGGAAAAAATTCCTAACTCTCAGGGTGGTTAAACACTGGAATAAATTGCCTAAGGGGGTTGTGGAATCTCCATCACTGGAGATATTGAAGAGCAGGTTAGACAGATTCGGAATGTTCCTAATCCCCATGCACCCAGTGAGGAAAGCAGACTGTGGTGGGGCAGTACCTGACTGTCTGGGGGCTGCCCAGCTTGAGGCGGGCGGTAACTGCCCAGTGAGACCCGAAGATCCCTCCCACCGTCGGGAACAACCCCTGGCGCCATGCTCTACGCCAATTGAGCTGTGGCTTATAACCGGTAAACTGTTGCTCCCCGTGTTGTTTCCGCGCTAGTAGCGCTAGCGAGGCTGGAGTGTCCTCTCCAGGGTTGCGAGATATGTTGGTAGTCGGATACTAGCCAGGGCGATGTAATATGGAGGAACAGGCTATTGCCCACGTAGCGGGTCCCCCCTCTCCACGTCGTCGATGGATCCAAAGGAACAGCAGGGCTGCTACAGTTTGGCATCGGCGCCGTCGCAGGAGTTGCCAGAGCGAGGCTGCAAGCAGCGTCGAACTGTCTTAGGGACTCCGACTCCGGATTTTTCCTCGAGGTTTACTCCTGAAGCCTTTTCCATGGAAGAATATAGCCGCAAGGCAGCGGAGGTTTAAAATCAGGGTTTTCCTTCCCCTAGATGAACTGCCTTCTAGGCTGACGAGTATCATCTCCCTGAAGCAACTGGTTATAAGGCGCCAGTGACCCGCCTGCGCCCCTTCTCCTGTCAGTTAAAACAGTTCCGCCGGGTTTACAAGCTAAACCGCACGTGAAGGCCAGGAGCTGGACTTGGTTGTCAGAGGCTATTGGAGACGCACGCCGTATAGGGGTACTTTATAGACAGTGGGAGCTTATCCCCACTACCACCCCTGGCTATGACAACCTTGGAACTCCATGATAATAATAAAAATGTAATTAGAAAATTTTCTGTTTGTTTCCCAGATAGAAAACTCAAATACCGGACTGTCTGGTTCAAAACCGGACACCTGGCAACCTGCAGCCAGCCCCCCGGCCTCTCGCCTCTTCCTCCCCCGTCCCCCCATCCAAGAATTATGGAGTCTTGGGGCTTTCTCCTCACCCCTCCTCCCCTGCAGGAGGCTGACGCTGGCACTGGTGCTGTAATTTCATGTGGGAGGAGTGGTTGAGGCTGGAAGGCCAGGCAGGCCATGGCCCGAGTGCAGGCCGGAGGAGCCAGTGGTTCCCCCCTGGGTCCTAGAGCGTCAGGGCCTCAGAGCAGCTCTTATAGGGGAGCCAGGGCACATCCTCCTGGAGGGGCTGGGGGAACCCTGAGCCATGGCCACTGCTTCCTCTTCTGGGGACTCTGCTCAGACTGGGGGATGGGATGATGCAGAGTGATGTGATGATGTGACTGTTGCCCTGCAGGAAAAGTTTTTTTTATATATCGAGAGAGATGAGCAGTACAAACAGAATCAGCATCGCATAAGATTTCATTAGAAACCTCAGTTGGCCCACTTTGCACTGAATCTGGGGCAAATGCACAACATTATCTTATTAAAAACCAATAATATCCTAGGGGGCTGCGTATTCTACAAGCCACAGAAAGAAATGTTCAGTATACATATAACTCTTTCTTCTAGCATATATGTCTCTGTCTGCTGGAACAGATTAAACTGCTTTGGCACTCAGATGATGTGATAAGTGAAGTGAGTTTTTAACAATTCTTGGACTGTGCAAGTTATTTCTGAGGGGGGAGGCAATTGTCAGGCCTTAGCTGTTACTAGAAAAATGTAATATTGACTGAGACATTATCAATATAATCATAAGTGCTTCCTAGTAACAATAATTTGAGGGATGCCTGAACAGTGGCAATTAGGGACAACCACAAAAAGGAAGATAGCACAGCACTCAGGGCCTTTTTTGTTTAGGATATATAAAGAAGGTTTAACATTTTTTTTAAAATTAAGGATTTTTTCATGCTTGTTATTTTTAAGATATATCAGCAATGCTAAGAATGGTCTCCTCTGCATTTAGATAAATTGGGGAGGGAAGCAGATGGGAATTGTTCTCAGAGGTTACAGAAAGGTAGAAGAAATAAAAAGAAGGGCAAAAAAGAAAAAGTAAAAAATCAAGAGAATAAATCTACTTTAGACATTTTTTTGTACTCATTGACAAAGAAGAATAGAGGACAAAGGTAGAGGGAATGGGGAAAAAAATCAAACAATGTCAAAACCATTTTGTCCACCTCCTGTAAGGATTACGGGGTTACTCCATTTGGAAAGTCTCCCAAGCAGCTAGGAATCTACCACTTATCTATCCCCTTTCTTCTGTTTGTTAAGTATTAACAAAACCTAAGATTTTAGACCGTCTGAATAGATGTCTACAGTGAATTTTAATGTGGTAGATGAAGTTGATGGGATAATCTTTTGGTTTGTCGGTTAGTTGTCCAGAAAGTCTTTAAGAAAAATAATAAGATAGTGAAAGCTAGATGTCTAGTCATACAAAAACAATCAGAAAAATAAACTTTTTTATAGATGGGTGGGTAAAGAGGGAAATAAGTGAACAAGTGCAATTTCTTTTTCTTTTCGGATTGTCTTTAGTTCTTTTATACAAAAATGATTTTTTTTTTATAAACCAATGCATAGAATCCTTAAAAAACTAAAATATTTTTTGTAATTCAAAGTAGGCTAAGGCTATTTTTTTGCAGATCTGACTAATATTGAATTCATAATTGATGGCCCCTACTTAATGGAACTACTTGAGTGAAACAAGTTAGCCACGTGCAAAAGTGTTTTCAAGATTTATACTCGCCTTTACAATATAGCCTATCTAAATGGAAAATTAATATGTTGAAGTAAAAAATAAAACTGCTTATTAACCAGTTATTTTTAAAATTATTTCTGTGATACATCGTTGGGTATACCCAAACCTTTAATTCCGTGTTTGTTTTTAAATTTTTCAGTGGGACCCCATGATCACTACATTACCTGGTTTATACTTGATGTCTGTTGGAATAGTGAAACCTGCAGTTTGGCTCTTTGGATGGTCTGGAAGTATAGTGTGCTCCACAGGAATGCTCCGTTTTATTAACCTCCTTTTCAGTGTTGGAAACTTCTACTTACTGTATTTGCTTTTATGCAAGATACATAATAAAAACAAGGTACATTCCAAATCCATTAGAATTTCATATAGTAATATATACAAATTTATGATGAGACCATAAACTGTTACTATATGAGGAGTTTCAGCTCTCTTCAGTTTTATGCAACAGATATTTATATCATTTGGATTATTTTACTGGATCCTTTCTTTTTCTATAAAAACAGTTTTTTCTTCCTCCCTAAGGGCTTGATAGTCCTTTTCAAGTTAATGGGACTACTCTTCTTAGAAAGTTAATATTAATAGATTTTATAGTCTGAAAAGGGCAATTATGACAATTTAGTGTGACCTGTATTACACAGGCCTTGAACTTAGCCAAGCAATTCCTTCATCGAACCCATAACTTGGAGTTGAGCTAGAACAGTAATACTCAGACTGAAGATTGTGAGCCAGGAGTGACGTTTTAAATGTGTCTCCTGTGACTCTGCAGCACTAATATTAAATCACATAGTGTTTTAATATTATTAACCAATAAGGATGCTTTTAATGTGTTATTAACCAATTGTAGTTGATAAAATAATTATTGGTCAGTCATTTTGCTGTAAGAATAATCAGATAGACAATACACACACACAATATTTCCTGTCATACAGTTTAAATATGAATATACTACAAGATTTATCCTGCATTGCTTGAGTCTTTAACTCAAATAAGTTTTCTTTTTCTTTTTTTAAATTATTGTTCTGAGGTGAGGCTGGGGATGAGGGGTTCAGTATGCAGGCTGCCCTGGGAAGAGAGGACAATTCCAGCCCTCTCTCAGTACAGCAGCTTAGGGCCAGGTGAGAAGTTAATGTCCATGGGCTCAGCCACAAGAGGGGTGCATCTCCCCCAACTGTAGGACAGACAGACAGACCCAGACAAACTCTCTGAAATATATAGTGGATAGCCATCCCTTTCTCCACCCCGGCTGGCCCAGTGTCCATCTCTGGCCCTTGCTACCCCCATTCTGGTCATTCTGCCGTATAGCTCCCTCCTACCACATCCCTCTCTTTCCATTGTATGAAAAACAATCAAATTTCATCCACAGCCCATTATCCTGGCACAACCAAAACCTGACCTGGCTTTAAGTTATGATAAGAGAAATCTTCATACCAAATTTGGTGGTTCTTGAGGTGTCCTTGAACAAACGGACTCACAGACAGACACACATTTCTAAAATATATAGTAAGATAATATTGTACTACTAGGGGGCTGTATCCCCTGCTCACTACTCTTGCCAACCCCCTCTCTCCAGCAGCTTTTGCAGCCAAAGAGCATGAGAGCTTCGCTCACCAATTCCCCTCTCTTTGACTAGGCGGGAGGATGCAGGAGCAGGCTGGGGGCAGGTGTCTGGCCAGGGAGGAGGGGGCAGGAGGAGCACGTTGGGGATAAGTGTCTGGTTAGAAGGAACAGGGTGGCACAGCCCAGAGGGAGTTGGGCTTGGATGGCAGAGGGGAGCCTGATCTGCCCTTCCTCCCCCCTGGGCTGTTCTAGGTCCACACCACCATCTAAGCTTGACGCTCCCTCCCTGGACTGTGCCAGATCACTTCTGCTATCCAAGCCCTCCCCCCTCCCCGGCACCCTCAGCTCCCTAACCCGCAGCCCGCTCCTGCTCCCTCCCCCCGGCCAGACATGTACCCCCAGAGAGAGGGGATTTGACAGGCATAGCAAGGGGCACTGAACCCTGCATAAAGCCCATTAACATTAAGTTGAACTAAGGAGGAGGAGATGGGTGGGGGTGATGGCATGAGGACACAGATAACATGATAATGTCACTGTCATCCCGCAGGAATTTTTTTTATATAAAGAGAGCGATAGCAAATGAAACAATGAATTCATACTACTATGTCTCTCTTAGGTAATGGTTGAAGCAAAATGCAGGACAATGTAGCACTTTAAAGACTAACAAGATGGTTTATTAGATGATGAGCTTTCGTGGGCCAGACCCACTTCCTCAGATCAAATAGTGGAAGAAAGTAGTCACAACCATATATACCAAAGGATACAATTAAAAAAATGAACAAATATGAAAAGGACAAATCACATTGCAGAACAGAAGGGAGATGCGGGGGGGTGGGAAGGGGGAGGAAGGAAGGTAATGGTAATTGCTAATTTGGCTAATTAGGTAATGGTAATTGCTAATTTGGCTCCTGAACTACTGAGGTCTGAGTATCACTGAGCTATAACTTATTGTCTAGAAAAATACCTAATTTTGATATAAAGATTTCAAGTGAGATTCCTAGGTAAATTATTCCAGTGGTTAATTTAAATAAAAACTTTCACCTTAGTTCTAATTTGAATTTATCTAGCTTTGGCTTTCATCCTTAAGATCATTTTATGCCTTTGTCAGCCAGGTTAATGATCCGTTTATCATCAGAAATCCTCACTCGATGTAGATATTCTCAGTCCAGGATAAAGTCTTTAAAATACATGCATTAATCTTTACAGAGTCAGGGTCTAATTTAATAAAGAAGTCACTGGCTTTAGTTTTATATATGTAGATAGAAATATAAATGTAAAGTAATTGGTGTATAGAGTTTGACATCAGTATTTTTAACTATAGGAGTTTTTTCCCCATAGTTTCTTTACTAATTTATAAAATAATAATTAAAAGGAACTAGGGATGTAAGTGACTAGTCGACTAGTTGCTTCCCACCTGCTTGCAGCCTCTGTATAGAGGGGACTGAAGCAGCAAGAGCTACTTACTACATTTAAAAGGCAGAGATGCAGCCAGGATAGCGAGTGCCCCACCCCACACCTTATTGACTAATTGAGTTGTCGATGGAAATTCCATCGACTACTCGATTAGATCATTAATTGAAATGTAAATCTTTAGTAGAAACCACACCACATATTTAATAGATTAAAATGATGCTCTGTGGCCTGTTTCAGCAGAAATGGTAACTGTTCGGACAGAGAATGGTGCATTTGGATGTCATAGGGAACTGGAGTAAGATAGTTGCAGGATGGGGGCATTAGATATGCCATGACAGACATTGTATAAACACTTAAGATTGAATTGAAATTAATGTAATTTTCCTATTTTCTTCACAATTTACTTTTAAATCACCAGCAGTGCTCTAATATTCTACATTATCATCTTTCTCGTACACTTTTTTGTCTTATGTTCCATATTAGTGTAACAAGTTTGACAATAAAGAGTGCAGTGTCCATACTGGTGCCATCAAAACTAATGCCATTCATAAAAGATGCTGTTTTATGGTACTGAGGATTTTAAAGAATGGTACCCTTTAAATAATTGTAATTTTTGTCATGAAAGTAATAATACTGATAGTTTGTTTTCTCCCTCTCTCTCTCTAGACTGTGTCTGGTTTCCAGAGAATCTTATCTACCGTAACCCTTTCAGTATTCCCTACTCTTTATTTTTTTACATTCCTTTATTATACAGACACAGGATCAGTATTTTTTACTTTGTTTGCATATTTAATGTGCCTTTATGGTAATCATAAAACTTCTGCCCTACTTGGGTTTTGTGGCTTTATGTTTCGTCAGACAAATATTATATGGACAATTTTTTGTGGGGGAAGTGTTGTTGCACAACAGCTAAGTGAAGCCTGGAAGACAGAATCACAGAAGAAGAAAGAAGAAAGAATTACAAAGGGATCATTTTCAGAATTAATCAAAGTATTACAGTTTCTTACTGAGTATATCATGTCACTTAAAAACGTAGTAACTCTTATTATTTTGACCTGGCCATACATCCTCTTAGTAATTGTGTTCTTTGCTTTTGTGGTAATCAATGGTGGAATAGTTGTTGGTGACAGAAGTAGCCATGAAGCCTGTTTCCACGTTCCTCAGCTGTTCTACTTCTTTTCCTTTACTCTGTTTTTTTCTTTTCCTCATCTAATGACCCCGAATAAAACGGGAAATTTCCTTCAATGTGTACGGAAGCACTTGATTCAATATAGCATGCTCGTTGCTATCTCTTTATTCCTGGTCTGGAAATTTACATATGTTCATAAATACTTGATTGGGGATAACAGACATTACACATTTTATGTATGGAGAAAAGTCTTCCAAAGACATGACCTTGTGAAATATATATTTGTTCCTGCCTATGTATTTGCTGGCTGGAGTTTGGCTGATTCACTGAAATCAAAATCTGTTTTCTGGAACTTATTATATTTTGTATGTGTGTTTGCTGTCACAGTTCCTCAGAAACTACTAGAATTTCGTTACTTCATTTTACCATTTTTAATATATAGGCTCAATATTCCAGTTCCACCTCTTTCCAGGCTTCTTCTTGAGCTGGCTTTTTATGTTGTTGTGAATGCAATAACTTTTCATCTCTTTCTGAACAAAACTTTTCAGTGGCCAAATAGTGAAGAAATCCAGAGGTTTATGTGGTGATTTGGTACTCTTAAGAAAACTCAATTCTGTGCCTTTTCTGCAATTTACATGTGAATACAGAACCTGAAATTAAGTAGAGTGTATTGCTTTGTGTAACTTTTCTGAGTATAGTGTGGGGACTGATGTGAGTTGTATGTTTATAGTATTGAAAATAAATGTGAGATCTGATTTTTCTTTCCACATGATAGGGCATTACGCCAAATTTATGAAGCTTTAATATATATGGCATTGGGGGAAGTATTTTCAAACATTCTGCAATTAATGTGAAGTGAGGAAGATGTTTACAGTCATTTTTCCTAATAATACTTTTGTTCTATGGTAAATACTTATAAAACTCTCTTTCTTCAGTGGGGATTCTGAAGAAATTGGTATCTGTTTTTAGATGCTTGGGAATGTTGGAGTAAACATTACTTTTTTGGGTGGAAACCAGCACATATAAAACTCCAACAAAAAATTGCAAATGAATTGGTAAGCATCCTTATGTCAGATTGTGTTTTTTTTCAAAGTATTTCAGCAGATAAATAGTTATCTAACAGTTATGAAGAGTTACATAAACAGTAAAAATCTGCAAAGTAAATAATTTCCATCCATATCTGTTGGTGTGCATCTACACAAGCACCCTAAAGTCAAAATAAGATACGCAATTTGCACTATGCAAATTGCGTATCTTATTGTAATTAAATTTCAAAATAGCTTATTTTGAAATTTGGCATGTTTACACAGCGCCAAATTTAGAAATAATGTCCTATTTTGAGCCATCCTTTATTTCTTGTGCAATGAGGTTTACAGGGATGGAGAAATAGCATGCCCCTTATTTCGAAAAATATTTTGAAATAACAGGATGCATGTGTAGACGTGGGGTAGCTATTTCCGGATATCTCTGGTATCCCAAAATAGCTGTGCAGTGTAGACGTACCCTTAGAGATCAGGGGTTAAAGTCAATGAATCCAAGATATCACCTCAGATTCTTCAAGGATAATATTTTCAAAAGTTCCTACTTTGCAATGACTTTCAGTAAAATTAAGCTAAGTCCCTAAGTCATTCTTCAAAATGTGACCTAGGCTCCTAAGTCACTTAGGTGTTTTGAAAATTTTACCCCAGGTTCAATATTTATAAATTCATAATGCAAACCTTATGCATGAAATTTCTTTTTGAGAAATATATGTGATTGTATAACAAAAGATAAATTGCTTTTGATAACATGATGTGTTAAAAAGGAAGCAATTTCTAAAACACATCATTACACTGTGGAGCTTAGTATAATGAACACTCTTTAAAATAATAGGCTTTCTATGTTCTGAGGTTGTATACTTAACAAGTTTGCACTTAAGTGGGATGTAAGCATTCTCCCAAGTTGAATTGATTGTTTCTAAGATCTGACATACAGTCTTTAAAAGTACCAATGACATTATTTAATTGTATTTTTAAATGTTTTTCATATTTATAGAACTAGTACTTTTTCCATACAAAGGTATACTGTATATAGTATTTTTTTTTTTTAAAAAAAAAGCACATTTGTGTATTTTGAGAATCAATGAACGCTGTGTCTCTTCAACTACTTTAATTGAATTTGCAAGTATTCTTTGAACATTTCTAATAGCTTATAAAGCAGCTTTATAAATATAGTGCCCTAGAGTGAATTGTCTCTCAGCAACTCCTTATTCTGGGACTGAAATATTTCAGTTATTGCTGTGTACTCATAGCAAATTCAGCCTATAAGACGGATATAGCCATCCGTAATTCTGAATTGGAATTTTTTTCTCAGGGTAGAACTATGTGGTCACACAGCTGTCATTTCTCAGCTGTGTGGCATGTAAATTGTTGCTCTCTGGTTTGGAATCCAATCCATACATTCACAGCATACTCGCCCACCGCTGTCTTTGCAACCTCACTTCTCTGAAGGAAAGCTAAGAGCCACCCTTCAGTGAGTAATTTCTTTTAGTATTGTATTTAAAGCACTCCCCTGCTTCCTGCTTGTTTTCTTGCCCTGCCTCCAATAATAGTAATTTATTGTTAATCTGTATATAGCATTTGAATAGGGGAGCCCACTCAGAAACTTCAACATGACGGAGCCAACTGTAAAGAGATAGAAGCATGAGTTGGGTAGCATTTCAAGCACCTTCACACATCATTGCCTCCAAATCCAGCCCATACCACGGTCTTAATTTATGATTTAAGGGAGAGAATCCCCCATGGCTCCAGACTTTCTGATTGTTTAATTAAAACAGTAATTAATATTATGTAAAAGGTGTGTTGTTTGTGTGTGTATTTGTGTATATGTGTGTGTGTGTGTGTGTGTGTGTGTGTGTGTGTGTGTGTGTGTGTGTGTAAGCTTTAAATATAACTTTAAACATACACTCCTTAATTTTGGTATGTGGGGAAATGGTTCTGGTAGTTTTATGGCTAGAATTCTGACCTCTTCCTGATAGAGTTTTTCTGAATTTGTGGATTATGGGGAAGCTGGTTTTTCCTTGATTAAATGGAGGAGAATTTGTCTACATTTAAATGGTCTATGTACACTTATTTTCAGTGTAGATCTCTGTTGATATTGTGGTATTTTTATGCCTTTCAGATAAATGTAAGGATGGATAGCTTTTGTGCTCTTTTTACTTAATTGAGGGAGCTAAGCTATTTTTCAGGTGAAAAGAAGATTCAGTTTAATACTAAAATTCTGATGCTGTCATAGCCTTCCTGTAAAGAGAAGGGACCCAGTGTGGAAGCCCCTGAGCACCATGCATTTTCTGATGAGTATTTTAATATGGGATACTAGTAAGCAGTTCATATGACTTATACATATGTCCTAATAACTATTTAAAATTAAAAGGATGAAGTTTGCAAATAGAAACAGCTCCACATTTTAACACCGTGAATTTTCTTCTCCCGTGAAATGCATTAATTGAATTTCTGAATGCATACTATAGGGTGCTTCTTCCTGTTACTTTTGATGCTCTAATGTAAAGTGTCTCTAGCCTCTGTTTGCCAGATGCCAGAAATAGGTGATAGGAACTGGATCCCACTTGATGATTATCTGTTTTGTTCATTCCCTCTGAATCACCTGGCATTGACCATGTTGGAAGCCAGGATTTTGGGTTAGATCTGTGTCAGGCAATAAAACTGCAGCAGTTCACCAGGGTTAGCCCCAGGTGGGCTACTGCTGGTATCTTTACCTGCACTTCCTCAGGTATGGGTGATCGCAGCTCCCATTGGCTGGGAATGGCAATCTGTGGCCAACAGGATCACAGGGCAGGAGCGGTGGTGGGAGAGGTGCGACTCAGCCAGGAGCCCGATGGTGAGGGAGAGGTGGGCGGCACAGCAGGGAGTTCTGATCTGCTGCCAGGTGGTAGTGGGGGCCGGCAGCAGAGCCCCAGCAGCCATGGAGCCCCGACAGCCATGGAACTCTAGCCTGGGGAGCCATAACTGAGCAGGCAGCGGGGCTCATCTGGAGTTCTAGCTGGGGGCAGCACAGGCCATGTTGGAAAGCACCTTGCCTCGTTCAGCAAATCCCCTTGTTTGGGACCAGTCAGGTTCTGAGGGTACAGGATGGAGGGAAGAACAACCTGTAAAATGATTTATTGAAGCATTATAAAATTGAATTATTGTAAATGTTTCTAATGAAATGTCTATTTACAAATAATTTCATCATACTAATTTGAAGCAGATGATTTTGTCCAGGGTGGCAGTGAAGGTGTTTTTTTAATGGCATCCAAAAAGCAGTAGCTCTAGATAGATTGATATTTTTTTATTAAATAGGAAAATGAAGGGTGATCTTCCACACTCAGTATAAGGAAAATCAATATTGCTTGCATCTCAGACAGCAGAGAAATATATAGAGAAAAGACTGAATTTTGACCTTTAAGGTTACTTTCATCTGAATTATATAAGAGGGAAAAAATCATATGGATCCTCTTGGCTCCACAATATATGTGGTTTAAAGTGAAGAGGAGAAAGGGTACAATTGACTTAGTTACAGTAACATGTTTGATTTGTTATAGTGTGGGAAAATATAACATTTTACATAAAAATGTGGCGGTCAGCAAATAGAGGCTGAATTACATGATGCCTTTGCATTCAGTTCTTAAACAGAAAATTGAGATTATTATTTTGGAAGTTTTACAGATGATATTTTCTGGATAGCAGTATACAACTAGTCCTGTAGAATTAATTTCATTTTCTGTTGCTTCTGTTCTTTACTTTGGATTATATTAATAACTTTTGATAGTAAATAGCCACTATCATCATATATATAATTTCTGTTCAGATTTATTCTGTGAAAATGATGTAGCTCAGTTGTAATCTTTGAGAAAGAATGGTTAATTTTGTTTTGAGAGGCACACTTTTAAAAATCCTCACAAGGTGGCAGTCTTCAACCATCTTTTTCAAAGTCCAGTTATTTATTTTAACACTATTTTGAATTATAGTGTTGTGGTTCCTTAGTTTGTGTTCAAGAGTTAAATCATTTAAAATACTTTAAATCCTCATGTAACTTTTTCAATTACTTGTGTAGCTACAATGTTTGTGTTCTTAATTTGTTAATTTTTATGTTAGGATTTTTAAAACCATGTATTTTTGGTATATTATTTTAAAATACTTATTTTAATTTGAGATTTGGAATTTTGTTTCTGTGAAATCCTTAATGTATTTTAATACTTCATGTTAGGAAAAACCAGAAATTAAGACCAAAAGCTCTCTGTTGAAATTGGGGTCTTACTATGCAGCATATTTTATGGCGTGTGATATCTCCTTCTGACAATAAAAATTACTACACGACCCCAGGAGGAGGAGACCGAAGCCTGAGCCTGCTCCAGACCCAGGTGTAGAGGCCAAAGACTTAGCGTCGCCACCCAGGGAGGGAGAGCTTATAACTTGAGCCTTGCCACTTGAAGCTGGAGCCCTCCGGCTTTGGCTTCAGCCACAGGAAGTGGAGTTCAGGCTTTTACCTCGGCCCCAGGCCTCAGCAAGTCAAAAACAGTTCTGGTGACTCCATTAAAACAGGGTCCTGACCCACAGTCTGAGAACTGCTGTGCTAAAATATTCATGCTTTTTTTGTTGTACTATGTGCTTTTGAAAAA